CGCCTTCGGTGCGACTTGAAAACTGTACAGCAATGATGCTGCTCTGCTGCAGGGGTGCTGTAGTTATGTTGCCTTTTAACGGCTTTGAGGTTTTTGACGCTGCAGAAGCTTCGCCTGTACTTGCGCCGGAGTCGTCGATCTGCAGCGTAGAAAGCAGAGCAATGCATTACAATATTCGGTGCAGCGCGGATGCTTGCAGGCCTTCGCTGCCCACTGAAGGGAGACCGGCTGTACGCTCAGCTGCTGGAGACGTGGCAACACGAGGAAAGAAAAATGCAGAGGTCGCGGGCTGGTGGTTGTCTAGAGACGACAGATCAGGAGGTGTTCATACGCCCGAAAGAAGTTGCTACTTCGCTGCCGTTGCATCTCAAGCGAATGCAGTGGAGGACGTTCGCAGGTGCGGCTTCTGTCTGCTTCCACTTCATAGCACGCCTGTGTGCTTCTTCCGCTAGTGATGTTTATTTGAAGCCCTGACTCTAAAGCCTAAACCATAAAACCGTGAGAGCCAGCACAAACACCCTTACAACTGCAAAAGGCTAGAGGAACCACAAGCGAAGACCTTCTGCATCTTATCTGCTGTGCACAGGCAAAGATGTAACTGTGGATGCGCCGTTAGGAGAGAATTTAATTACCACACTGAAAGCATGCGGCCTTCCGACCCGCCAAAATATTCAGGAATACATGCGGGGTTGGCTCTCTCGTTAGCATCTGCATCGATGCCACCAGCGACAGCGACGACCATGTACGAAGTTTACAGATTGGACACATAAAGAAGGAATATGCTGCTAGTTAGTGAACAACGAGAGATGAAAAGACATCAGGAGCATTTCTTTCTGTATCTTTTATTAATTGCTCTTGATTTGATGCATGCGAACATATGGGCGAGAACAGCGTGTTGGATTTAAGTGAAATATCGTTCTGCATCCAATTCCGACAAACGGGACAGTGAAGAGAAATACGAGACGGAGAGATTTTACCACATGCCAGTATACTAAGGTGTATGACTCTAGCTGAGACAGTACCACACTACTAGAGACGCGTAGGTAGTAAAGATTTTCGACAAGATCTGAATATGTTTGGATATCGCCAGTAGCATGGTTTTATAAAGTTTATGCAAGTGCTTATACCTGTGTGCTCACTGTTTACCGATGTCCAAGTAAGTGTTTTAGAACTGTCTACAGTGTCAATGCGCGCAACGAGGGGGGCTTGGGCGTTCTTGCATCTGTAGTTGCCTTTTAGTGAGGTGCGTTCCAACGCGTGTCTATCCGCCACCTCGCCCCCAGCCTCAGTCCCTGGGGCCGCCGGGCCCCTGCCGCCCCGGCATGCGAATAAGATCGAGGAGTCTCTTTACAGTGAAGGCATGAGAGGATACCAGAGCTTCTGAGGCCGGCTTAGGGGCAAAGCACGTTAAAAAGTAATAGTTTAACATACGAAGGATCTGAAGGAGGGAAGAAGGCAACTTGGAACGCAATCCTGAATTTCCAGAGTGTGTATTTCCCTTCATCACATTCACAACTTTTCTGTTTCCCTTCAGGAAAGAGTGAATATGAACTTTGGAGGCACTTCTGGGCGTGACAGCCCATTAAGCTGGGAATTTTAGTGCAAATAGGCATTGTGGTTTGATTGAGAGGTTTCCTTCGGATGCATGGGTGAACTTCGACAGCCGTTCCGCAACCGTCGTGCCACAACGCCCCATACATGTGCCCACACCATGTGTAGTGCGGCCCACTACATTGGGGTGATCGTATGAGTTGGTTTAGAGAGGCAAGGACAGTATTAGGTAGTAGCACTACGAAGACGAGTGGCATTGCATGCGACTCGATCCACGTGCAATAGGTTTGTTCGGGTAGCGGCACAGAAAAGCTCAACGGGTAACCAGCGCATCTATTGCGAGTAGCCAGTTACACTGGCGCTCCAAGGACAGGTAGCTGGCCCAGGGCAGCAAGGCTCCTGGGAAAAGATCCCTCTGCGGAAGCCCGGCCCAGAACTGGATTTTTACCTAACAAGTTTTTTAATTTGTAATAAGATTCCAGGTTATTTGACACCTGCCTTACCCCTCCGAGTAGTGCTAAACTAGAGTCAGTTTGCTAGTTTTGTATTCGGCTAGACGCCCCTATGGTACAGTGTGTATCAGTGGTATTGACAGATTTTGGCGTGGACGATCGGAAAATGGGAAGTATTCTTTGCCACAACGTTTCGAGAGTTGAAATTTGACCTTATTCAAAGCCCTCTAGGCATACCCAGAGGTCCCCTGNTGCCACAACGTTTCGAGAGTTGAAATTTGACCTTATTCAAAGCCCTCTAGGCATACCCAGAGGTCCCCTGCAGAGTCACAAGGGTAATGCACCCTACACATTACCTGTAATGCCTGGGGTTCTGAAGGGCAGCTCCAGAACTAGCTGGAAGTAAGGCACAATGCCTTAACACTGAAAAAATGATAAATGAAGTTGTTTCTGAACGATTAATGAATTTTTTAATAAGGCAAGGAAGCGGGATATCAGGAATTTCGCCTCTAGTCAACGGTACGACCAGACGAAACTCGGACGGCGCGTTACGATGCTAAACGAGTGGATGGAGTGAGAAACCCTACCATGTAAACCCGGAAATTAGCTACATATGGAAATAACAACCAGAACATGTGAGAAAATAAGTTTTGCTGGTGTATGGTGGTGACCGTTTGGCAACGCAGGGGCGCTCCCCGGCGCAGTCCCGTGTCCACTGCACGCACATTGACCTGGTGAAGACCATCCCCACGCCTGTTGCAGCCGCTCGTGGCTGCTACGNGTCCACTGCACGCACATTGACCTGGTGAAGACCATCCCCACGCCTGTTGCAGCCGCTCGTGGCTGCTACGCTCTAGAAGGCTCTAACACACAGCTGCTAAACTGACTCACGTGCAACGTGTATACTCAAAATATAATGTTCAATCCATAAACGAACTCTTCTCGCTAGCGAATGAATACAATTATCTCCGTGTAGTGCCGGAGCACTACTTCACCCCGTCCTTCTGTATGGAGATGAGGGTGGTGATGAAAACCATATTGGCTTTATTTATACAGCTTGGTTTTGTGATAATGAAAAGGCCCCACTGGGTGACAAAATGCAGCAACTATGTTGCCACCACGGCCATGTAACAGCTAGGGCGCAGTCCCTACGCCGACGCCTCGGGTGCAGCAGCACACCCTATCGATGCTCGCCTT